CATCTTGAAGCACTTCACACTCATCGTACTCATGATACGGTGTTCCTAATCCTACATACGATGAAAATACCACCTCACCTATTATTAATTTTGAATTTGGTCCCTCACCCATTATTCAATTTTAATTTAGTTTAATTTTATAAAGAAGTCTTTTACCCATTATTCATTTTGAATTTTGTTCAACCCAAATTGTAAAGACAAGGTTTTGCATTTCTTTGATAGGAAAATAAAGGTTCGTTAATTGTTGTTAGTATTTGTTTCATTAGTTAGGATTTATCTCCTAAATGTGAATAAATCCATAATCAACTAGGAGTAGTTTTATAACTATTATACATATTGTTAAGAGTTTTTTTTTTTTTTTTCATTATTGAGATTGAAACGAATTAAGGAACATGGATTGTTCTTAATTTTGTTCTTGTTCTTCATAAAGTATGACCATACTTTCTTTAATCCTCTCGCCATCATCTAGTATCGAAGACATGGTTGCAATGGTTGGAGGTGGAAGATTATGAGGAATCATGAATCAAAGAAGCGTCGGCTAATGTTATTTAAACCAAAATATTGTGTTTAATCACTAGCTAAGCCAAAGGAAAGTGGGGGAAACTGCTTTGAAGAAGAAGATAACATCAGCTTGAGTGATTACTAAAAATTGATAATTAATTATTCTGTGAGTCCTCGTTCATGTCATTGTCTCAATGTTTTTTTGGATAACCATGGTTGGATTTGAACACACTTTGCTACAAGGATTTGACAAAACATACAAAACCCATAAGAGCATACCAAAACAAACAACATACATCTACATTACAACAAAAAACGACCCAAAATCACTTTGTGACAGGACCCTTTCATTTGCCAATGCAACTTTAAGCAGGAGTTATAAGCAAATCAGGTAAATGGTTGTACAAATAGATGTTAAAAGGATAACAAAATAAAAAATTTAATTTTCTTTTTCCAAATAAGGTGGAAGACACATAGAATTTCATCTTCTATCCGCATGACCCAAGTTTTCCAGATAGAAATTCAAAACACCTGGAGCTTCTTTCTCATATCTTTCCAATCTCTTGATGAATTTTTCCTCCGAACATTGCAACCACCAACCGAAACCACAAGAATTTTTATCATTCATCAATCCATTGTCCAAACAATATTTGTAAACCAAACATCTTGGAATAACCCTCTTCTCCAAACTCATTGAAATGATACCAGGATTCTTTACAATAACAGTTGTCTCAAACCCCATCTCATTAACAACAAAGTCCATCACTTTATCAATTTTCTCCTTGGATGCTTTCATACACCATGGATTAATCCTAAAGGCTAGTAAGATCTCGGTTTTAGACAAACCCCAATTCTCATAAGTCTCCATCTTCTTCTCCCAAGTGGACTTGCTCATTGACCTAACTGCATGAACAGCTACCATAAAACTTGAGATCAAAGGATCAAACCCCATCTCCACAACATCATCCACAGCCTTTTTGAACTGGTCTGTAGTAACTAAAAAATCTCTGGGATAATAAGTTAATAGATTCAACATCTGCAATCTGGGCACACCAACATCGCACAGTATTTGCATGTTTGGAATCACATCTGCTTTGAAATTCGAATTCCAGATCAGGGCACACCTCCTGATTGCAATCAGTAATCTATCGTTGGACTGAAACAAATTTCTAAGGAAACTAACGGTAGGTTCTACGTGATGCTTCAAGCTTCTACTTAGGAAGCTGGGTCTTGCAGTAAATAACTTAATAATATCGGAATCCGAAAGTCCTATGGAATTTAAGAACTCGAATTTGGGCAAAAGGTTTTTCTCCGGATGACATGCGAGAGCCAGAGGGAACTTTCGAACCATGTAAGAAATCTGCGTTTCTGTGAACCCCTGATCCTTGAAAAATGCAATTACGGAGTCTGCTCGATCTGGGGTTTTGAACTTTAAATATTTGGAAGCTGAAATCGCCTTGTCTGGAGGGAATCCGCATGAGTCTATGAGGTAAGAAACTGCGAATGAGTTATCTGATGTTGCTGCAGGTGACGAAGATGACAAGCGAGGAAACAGTCTATGAAACGATGTTGTTTTGAACACAGAAAATGTCAAGTTTCTGCCGATGAGATTGAACATTGTGAGTAGAAATCGTAATGGTGGAGGAATCACTGACCTGTGATTAAAAGCTTATGGATTTTGGTTTTTCTCTGTAATCGGTTTTCACTTGAAGAACCCTAAAACAAAACCCTGGTTTGCTGTTCCAAAAAAAAATAATAAATAAATAAATAAATAATAATAAATAAATAAATAAAACTCTGATTTATTGACATTTACTTTTTTTTTTTTTTTTTTTTTTTAACTAAGGATAGTTTTATGACACTCCATCCTACATCTACTTTAATATTAGGTATTGTTTTTCCAAAAAAATATTTTTTTCTCTCCTATTACTTTATTGTTAGGCTTAAAGGTATGGTTTTATGATTCTTACGCGTTTAAGACTGCCACATCGTCTAAATATCGACTCCATTACATGTCTACTAGCATTGGGGCGTTTAGGACTGCCACATCGTCTAAATATCGACTCCATTACATGTCTACTAGCATTGAGGTAGTATCTAGTGAACATGAAAAAGAGAAAGATGGAGAGAGATAGAAACAAGCCAATGAGAGCCTTCTAGTTTTTGCTCAGCCATTAAGATTTTTCAAAATCATTTGTGATGCATACCAATCCACATCACAACCACTAGCTCCTGGGGCGGTGTTCAGCGTTGAACATGTATGCCACATCAACATTTGATGAGTGAAAATCATACCATTCCCTATGGCTTTAGACTTTTTAATCATTATAGGGAAAATGACTTGATAGGGTAATATAATTTTTGAAATGTAAACATTTAATCCTTATTCTTTTTTTTCTTGTAAAATAAACTCTTATACTTTATTTTTTGCAACAATGCAATCCTTGTGACCGGCTATACCCGGTATACCGGTCATATACGAATTTTCTTTTAGAGAAAATGATTGATAGGGTAAGATACTTTTTGAATTGTACACTTTTAGTCCTTATTCTTTTTTTTTTTGTAAAATAAACCCTTATACTTTATTAATATGTACACATTAGGTCATTTTCACCGGATTCTACAGGTTTGCTGATGTGGAAGCACAAGTGACACTAAATAGCAATTAATTAGCTTAGTCACCGAATGTGGGTGATCCTCTAGCAATAAGAAAAGGGCGGCGACCCTTCTCTTTCTCGTCTCTCTTCCTTCCGGTCGAACAGCAACAACCAAACACCCTTTACCTGTTGTGTTTCTCCGATCTGTCTCTCTTTGCCTCAATCTTTAAGATATCCTGCATCCCCCTCCGACCTTGCTGTTTGTGCCATCATTCCTCCTTACTACCAGTGATGTGTAGGAACACAAAAATGAGTCGCCGGAGATCGGGGTTCTCTCTTTTTTCATAATTAATAAAAGTTGGAAAAATCTCGTTGTGGATATGTGGATGCTACCTGGATATTTCATTTCAACAAAATAAAAGAAAGGGAAAATGACTTAATAGGGTAAGATACTTTTTGAAATGTACATATTTAGTCCTTATTCTTTTTTTTTTTTTTTTTTTTTTGTAAAATAAACCCTCCACGTCAGCAAAACCTGTAGAATCCGGTGAAAATGAGCTAATGTGTACATATTCTTAAAGTATAAGGGTTTATTTTACAAAAAAAATAAGGACTAAATTTATACATTTCAAAAAGTATCTTACCGTATCAAGTCATTATCCCATCATTATACTAACTTTATTAATTTTATTATTTTATCATTACAAGTTTTTTCAAACTTTATTACTCCATATTATTTTGTTATATTCAATTAAATTTTTACCTACATTATTATTTTCTAAATTTTCTCTTAAATGTTTTTACAAGACAAATGATTATAAATATCAAAATTTAGAAAAAAAAAACATATTCAAAAGTAATATATGTCTTGAAAAATGTTTGTTTTTTTTAAACTAAGGGGGTGTTTGGGCTTGTGTTTGAAAAGTGTTTATTTGCTTAATGACTTTTTGAAAAACTAATAAGTCAAAAAAAGTGTTTGACAAACTCAAAAGCACTTTTTAGAATAACTTTTCCATAAGCTTCAATAAACACTTTTTAATAAGTATGTAAAACGTGACTTTTTAAAACTGTTTATGGCTTTTCAACCAAAATAACTTCAAAAAACACTTTTTAAGCCAAACATTTTTTAACTTATTGACTTATTGACTTTTTCACTACAAAAACTTATCCAAATACTTTTTAAAAAACTCATTTTACCACCACTATAAGCAAATAAGCACTTTTATCTAAAAACATTTTTCTAATTCAAAAAACACTCCCAAACATCTCTTAAACCAAACAAAAAAGTATTTTTTTTTAATGACAAACCATGCAAACAATTCAGTGGAAACATCACTACAATATTAAATTAAAAAAACATATCGCTTGTCATTTAATGTGTTTTAAGAAAAAACTGTTGTATTTTTAGAAGCCCAAAATTGTAATTTTAATAAATACATATATTAATAAAAGTCTTATCAAAATAAATTTATGATACATTTGCAAAAAATATATATAGTAAAATCAAAATAAAATAAAACAAAATCTAAATATATTGTTTCAAAAAAAAAATATTAATATTTTATATTAAAATTATTATTAAATAAATTATTCATATTGCGTTAATCTGTAACACCCATAAAGTTTAAGCCAAATTAAAACATTTTAATTCATTCAAAAACCATTAAATTTAGTCCTTATTCTTTTACAAAAAAAAAAAAAAAATAAGGACTAAATGTGTACATTTCAAAAAGTATCTTATCCTATCAAGTCATTTTTTATTTCTATTATTTTTTTGAAATGAAATACCCACATATCTACAACGAGATTTTTCCAACTTTTATTCATTATGAAAAAGAGGGAGAACCCCGATCTCCGACGACTCATTTGTGTGTTCCTACACATCAATGGTAGCAAGGAAGAATGATGGCAAAAACTGCAAGATCGAAGGGGGAGGGAGGATATCTCAAAGATGGAGGCAAAGAGAGACAGATCGGAGAAACACAACAGGTAAAGGGTGTTTGGTTGTTGTTGTTCGACCGGAAGGAAGAGAGACGAGAAAGAGAAGGGTCGACGCCCTTTTCTTGTTGCTGGAGGATCACCCACATTCGGTGACTAAGCTAATTAATTGCTATTTAGTGTCACTTGTGCTTCCACATCAGCAAAACCTGTAGAATCCGGTGAAAAAGACCTAATGTGTACATATTAATAAAGTATAAGGGTTTATTTTACAAAAAAAGAATAAGGACTAAAAGTGTACAATTCAAAAAGTATATTACCCTATCAAGTCATTTTCTATAAAAGAAAATTCGTATATGATCGGTATACCGGGTATAGCCGGTCACAAGGATTGCATTGTTACAAAAAATAAAGTATAAAAGTTTATTTTACAAGAAAAAAAAATAAAGACTAAATGTGTACATTTCAAAAAATATCTTACCCTATCAAATCATTTTCCCTTAAAAATAATATAATAAATAAGACAAGAAGTCATAAGTTGAAATGTTACAAATCTATAAATGTATATATTTAAATTTATTTTTTAAATCGTATTTATTAAATTTTCAAAAAAATAAAGTAAAATCTACGTCATCGGCGACCCACAAACATCAAGTAACCGACTACCCTTGCACCTCCACTGGGACTTCACCTACGCATCTTTAGAATCCCAACGCCTCAAACTAAACCAGGAATTAGGTGTTTCTGATAGGATCAGATCCTCGGAAATGGCGGATGAAGTGAAGTTGTTTGCTGCTGGAGGAAGTCCATTCGTTTGCAGAGTCCAAATCGCTTTGAATATGAAGGAAATAAAATACGAAAAATTGGAAGAAGATCTTCACAACAAGAGTGCCGACCTTTTGAAGTACAATCCTATTTATAAGAAAGTATCGGTGCTGGTTCATAACGGAAACGCGATCTCGGAGTCTCTGGTGATCGTTGAATACATTGACGATGCCTGGAAAGGGGTTCCGATTTTGCCTCAAGATCCTTATCAGAAGGTTGTTGCTTGATTTTGGGCGAAATTCATTGATGATAAGGTAATAATTTCATTCTCTCCTAATCTTCATTAATTGCTACTATTTTTTTGTGTGATTATATAATTGTTAGTGGATGATTACACATGATTTGATTTCACATGAGCATTTGTTAAAGGACAGATTGAGAAATCGTAACCAATTTTCAAGTATAAGAGTACATTTGAAGCTAATCATCTTCTTTTGGAGTGCCAAAGCATGTACTCTGGTTACATATATTAAATATTTGGGTCCACAATGTTAATCATAACGATGAATCGATGATGATTGATGATGAACAGTATACATATTACACATTTTTCTCAATAAAAAACATACGAGCACATCTGTTTATTGATCCTACTTGTATTTTTGGTTTGTTCAGTGCATTCTTGCACTATTCAAGGTTTTTGGCAACAATGGAGATGAGCGAGTTTTTGCAGAAGCTTGTGAGCAACTTAAAATACTAGAAAATACATTGAAAGTCAAAGGTACAAAGTTTTTTTGGAGGTGACAACATTAACCTAGATGACATTGCTGCTGGTTTTATAGCCTATTGGCTTGGAATGCTGGAAGAAGCAACCGAAATAAAGTTTGTCACAAAGAAAAGTTTCCAAAAATAACAGAATGGGCAGATAATTTCATCAACTGTCAACTTGTGAAGGAGGTTTTACCTCCAAGAGTATATCCTCCAAAAGGATACATGCTTGCATTTTTTAAGGAACGGTTTGGTAAGAAGTAATGTTATATATTTAAGAGGTTGTTTGGTAGAAATTTTATCATTAAGAATCTCTAAATGATTCAAAGCTTTTGGGTAAAGTTGTTGAACGTAACTGCTAAATAGAAAAATCTACCGTTTTAACCTTCTAACAAAAAATTACAAAAACATTGAAATAAATCAAACTCATCGATCTTCAAAACCCAAAAGGATACAACTCAAAGTCATTGAAAGAAAATCAGCAACATCAAAATCTATACAAAATCTGATAAACCGAAGACTAGAGGGAGTGATGGTGTGTATGACATTTAAGCATAACCGTGTAGACTGATAGATTTTCAGTGATTTCAGTTTTTTACAACATATCAAAGTAAATATCAATTTGTCCTTAAAAAACCTTTCAATTTTCTTTCCTCTGTTTTTCAAATCCTATATAAGGGAAGGGAACTCAATAATTTCATGGTGAAATTTAAGAACATATTATTCAAAAAAAGGCCAAAAAAGCCAATCAACAATAAAATTATCTTAGGATTCTTAATTATGTGAAAATTTCATAAGAATTCCTTAGACAACAATGGAAGCATAAACAAAAAAAAAACACTTGTTTTACTAATTGTAAGAGTAAGGGTCACTAAAAATGATCTACTCTCATATAAATATATAAGTAAAGCTAAGCTGTAAAGACTAAAGATGATAATACGATCAAAAGTATCTCATCATTAGCAACAAAATTCATGTGCTAATAATTACCACATTGTTAAAACAAATTACCATCTTCAGTTAGCATGATCAAGTAACTTTTCTTGATAGAATTTCAAAACACCTATAGATTCCGTCTCATATCTTTTCAATCTCTTGACAAATATATCCTCTGAACACTTCAACCAATAACCGAAACCACAGTAACTTGTATTGTTCATCAATCGGTTGTCCAAATATTATTGGTAAAACAAACATCTTGGAGCAATCCTTTTCTCCAGACTGTACGAAATAATCTGGGAATTCTTTGCAATAACGGATGTCTCAAAACCCATCTTATCAACAAGATAATCCATCACTTTATTGATTTTTTCCTTAGATTTCATCATACACCATGGCTCAGTCCTAAAGGCATGCAAGATCTGGGCTTTAGACCAACCTCATTTCTCATAAGCCTCCATATTCTTCTCCCATTTGGACTTATACATGGGCATGAACTGCTAATATAAAGGTTTTGTGCATAGGATCGAAGACCATCCTCACAACTTCCTCTACAATCTCTTTGAACTGCTTTGTAGCGACTAAAAGATCTCTAGGATGTTTAGTTAATAGATACAATATTTTAGATCCACACACCCCAACATCAGGCAGTATTTGTATATTTGGAATCAAGTTTGCTTGGAAATCGTAATTCAATAACCATGCACACCTCATGATATCAAAAAGTGTTCTATTATTGAAACTCAAATTTTGGGCAAAAGTTTTTTTTTTTTTCAGGATGACTTGAGAGGACCCTAGGGTCCATTTGCACTAATCGAGAAATCTGGTTTCCGTAAACCCTTGAATTTTTAGAAATGCTATCACGGAGTCTGCTCGATTTGGGGTTTTGAACTTTAAGTATTTGGAAGCTGAAATCGCCTTACCCACATGAGTCTATAAGGTAAGAAACTTTGAACGAGTTATCTGATGCTGTTGGTGACGAAGATGATGAGCGAGAAAGCAGTCTATGAACCGATGTTGTTTTCAACGCACAAAATTTTAAGTTTCTGCGGAATCGGAATTACTGGATTTTATGATTTCGGTTTTGTTTGGCGCTTCACAAGTACCTTATAAATTAGATTTTTAGACTAGTTTTTTTATAAATTAGATTTTTAGACTAGTTTTTTAGGAGTTTTTTAAAAAAATTTCAAATATACCTCTTAATTAATTATAAAAACACATTTTTTTAAATGTCCTTTTATGTCATTTCATATTTTCAGTTAGTTTTACCAAACGTTATTTTTTATCAGCTAGCTTTTTATTTAACAACTAACTTCTCAGCTATCAGTTAGTTTTTCAACTAAAAGCTAGCTTTTCAGCTTGTATGACAAACATAGTCTTAGGGTGTTGGCATGTGGATTTTACGAACATCTTTACATAGAATGAGGGTTTTCAACTCTCACGATATCCTTCCCTTGTATGCCCTTGACCTTCCTATTTTAATTTTCATAAATTTAAAAGAAATTAAATATTTTTGTAGGTTTTGTTCCTACTTGTGATCCTATCTAATGAAATTATGATATGTTTCTACTTGTGTTCCTACGTAATAAAATTATGACATGTATTATATTTAGATAAAATTAATATTAATAATATTTTAATATACTTGTCTGTCATCATTTTAAACAAATAGAAAGATTTGTAAAAAGAAAAATAAAATGATATTTAATTTATCTAAATTTAATGTGAAAATGATCTCTAAGGATAACCAATTACAATATTTTTATTTGTTCAAAATGGAAATTGTTTTTCTTTTTCTAATTTCTTATACCAATAAATCTGTTCGAGCCTCTTAGAAGGCTAATTTTTATGTATCTTTCAATTGCTAATTTATGTCCCGTTTTGACAATTTATTTAAATGAAGAGGTAGTAAATAACACAAAAAACATTAAGTTTATATAATAATTCTAATTTGATACTGTGTTTTTTTTCTCAAATTTGGCACTCTGTTTTCTAATTTTTTTATATTCTAACCACTTAACCGGTCAATCCGGTTACCTACTAATGTGACACGATGACATGCCAGTTTTGATGACGTGACATGCTGACTTGTCAAAATTGAATTTTTTCCTCACAAAAGACATTCAGTTTTCATTATTTTTTTTTTTTCGATTTTGACGTTAAGTTTAATTTTTTTTTTCAATTTTAACAGTTTGTCTTTTAGTTCCAAATTGAATATCATTTTTTTTTAATTTTGTTCAATGTTGATCATTTCCATTTGAACCATATAAATATTTTTTTAATACATTTTAAACCGTATAGATATATTTCTTTTCATTTAAAAACCTTATTTTTGTATAAATCTAAGGCATTTTTATATTCAAACCATAATTTGATATATAAATATGTATTAGTTATATAAAAATCGTATGAGTTTGGAGGTATGTAGTCGATCAAGGCATACATATCAGGTTTGCAATTCGTAAAATTTCTACATCTTATTCAAAGTTTCTGGTTAATTTGGTTCTCATGATATAACTAATGCATATTTTTGCATAACATTATGCTTTGAATGTAGTAAAAAAAAAGGAAAAAAAACATGTATTTATATAAAAATGTGGTTTTTAAACAAAAAAAATGTATTTATACAGTTTAAAATATATAATAAAAAGATATTTATATACGATTTCAAACAGAAAATGGTAAACATTGAACAAAATTGAAAAAAAATGATATTCGATTTGGAACAAAAAATTAAAGTATCAAAATTGAAAAAAAAAATAAACTTAGTTTCAAAATTAAAAAAAAAAAGTGAAAACTAATGTCTTTTATGGGAAAAAAATCAATTTTGACACGTAAAAATGTCATGTCAGCATGACACGTTTTCAAAAATTGACATGTTATCATGTCACGTCAGCAGGTAACCCGATTCACCGGTGAAATGGTCAAAATTATAAAAAATTAAAAAACATAGTGTCAAATTAGAATTTTAATATAAACTTAGTGGTTTTTTTATATTTACCCTGCATATAATACTGCACTTTTAAAAACATCATTGACACGAGGATTAAGAGGTTGTTGCTAATTTGGCGATTTTCAAGTCACCAACTTTTTGGTAAAAAACTCTTTACTTTTTTAAAGAAGCAAAATAGCGAATTATCCATTATCATGATGTCTACTTTCTTAAATTCAAATACCTCTAACTAAAATCACACATCTCCAAGTCAAATATTACATTTGATGATGCAAACCCTTGTGATTATGATTATCCCTCTCGAATTTGGACATTGACGATCAAGGATAATCTTGATAGAAGGTCTAACTCTTTGGTAAGTAGGTTTTAATGTCGACAATTTGAATGATTCATAGCCTAATTTCTCATTCTAATCTAATTTTAGTAACAACTAAAGAATCTACAGAAAAAAATGTAAATTTCACAAATGAGTGGATAAAGAATGAAGCAAGAAGCACAACATGCATACTCATTTAAAATGAATATTTCAAGTTATACATGTAAATCATTGAACAATGATCATGATTTTTTAAGAATTTGGAAAATCGTACAAAAAAAACCCCTAAATTTTTAGGAAAAATTTTAATAAAGTTCTAAAGTTTTTTTTTAATAGGAAAGTCCCAATTATTTAACGTTTTGCCCAAACAAATGAAAAAGTTAATTTTTTATATTTGAACAGCAAATGATTGTTATGTGATTTTCTCAAAATAATAGAAATTTTCTGTTCAAAATTTTTTTAGAACTTTTTTAAAAATTTTTCCCAAAATTTTGAGATTTTTCTGTAGATTTTCCAAAAGAATTTGATCAAATTAATTAGAACAATTGCTTACTCATAAATGTTGAATGGTATTTGTGTTTATTAGTAAATTGCACACAAGTCAATATGTTTTTACAAAAATTCAATTTTGATATTGCATTATTTTTTGATACAATTTAATCACTAAGTTTTCTAATTTTGCAATGTTGATCTTTTAACTGATCAACCCATTTACTCGCTGACATGGCACGTTAATGTTTCAGTTGTGACGTAGAATGTTGACATGACATTATTCGGTTGTGTGGTACTCAAGGTTCTAAATGGCGTGAGGCGTGACGTGACGGCAAATCCAGGCCTCAAGCTTAATGAGCCATAGCGAACCATAATGTTTTTCAAGACGTGATGTAAGGTGACAATTTTGTATTAATTTATAACTATATTGCCACATAAATATACATTTATATTAAATATAACTAATTTTTAGAAGTGTGATATCAATAACTAATAAAAAAAAGTTAACAAAAAACACAATACTTGGATCCTCGATTGGAAAAGACATAACAAATAGCAAAAAACGTGTCTCAAACGAAAAAACACACGCTATAACACGCCATAACGCGTCATGGCACGCCATATCACACCTTGCTACGCATCACGCCTAACAATAACGTTATGAGGATTTTCGTAATGGCGAAGTCATGCTTTGGCACGCACCATGACGCGTCTTTTAGAACACTAATGGTGCTAATGTGACAGGATAGCATGTTAAAATAGAAAAAAAATGACATAAAAGACATAAATTTTTAAATTTGATATTCCATTTTCTTGTTCCCAACCAAACATCATTTTTTTTTCATTTTCGTTCCATGTTGATCTTTTTCCATTAGAAATCGTATACATATTTTATTTGTTACCTATTTTACATTTAAAAACCATATTTATTTTTTATAAACACAAGTCTTTTTTAACATTTAAATTGTAATGTTATACATATTATTTATCTTATAATTGTATTTTTCATTAAATAGTAATTTTAATATATATATATATATATATATATATATATATATATATATATATATAATTTTAATGTAAAAAATGTTTAAATGTTAATAAATACATGAAAGAGCAGTATGAATATAATAAAAAATATGTATATATACATAAAAATATGTATTAGCTGCAATATATCTTGTAATTGAAGCTTTGACAAATAATGGTTGATATTGAACTTAATAATCTTTATTAATTCATTGGTACTTAAATAAGCTAGAAGTTATGTTTTTTATTAGTACAACTTACGTTTTCATATGTTATCTTTTGTTTTAGTTGTTAGTGTGTTAATCTATTTATTAATGATATGTAGTTGAAAGTTGTTCAATTTCAATGAAAATTTGTAATATTTAACCTAATAATTCGTATTTCATGTAACATATATCATGTGACTTTGTAATATTATTATTATTATTATTATTATTATTATTATAATATGTAATGTCACATTTTGTATCTTGTGAAATTGGTCACTTTATTTTATTCTATTTTATTTATACTTTATGTTACAAAAGGGTTATGGATTCTCAATAATATCTTGGATATTTCAAGGATCGTGTACGAAAACATTTTTCATAATCGGTAATTTCGACTATGGAGTAACATGAAACTAGTTTTAGGATAATCCAAAAAAACTTATTTTGGGTTTCATGCAAACTCTGTAATTCGAAAATTTGTATTTCATGAAAAATACAGTTATTATATAATAATAGACATTTTTACATATAACTTCGGTTTAAATATAGAAAACGTGTATTGAGATTGAAAAATATAGAAAAGAAACTATGAATATGATTTTAAATGTAAAAAGGTCAAAAGTGAGCTGAAAAATGTAGAAAGTAAACTATGAATATGATTTTAAATGTAAAATGGTCAACAGTGGACAATATTGAAAAATGATATTCGATTTTTAACAAAAAAAATATCAAAATTGAAAATAGAGTGAAAACTTAGTATTGAAATTGAAAATAGTGAGAACTTTCACCTTTTATTTAATTTTGGCATGTCTTCATGTTATACCAACCAGCATCACATAACCAAATAATATTATGTCCACATGTCACGTCATCGCTCGGTTGACAAGTTAAGTGTTCACATTGCAAAAACTAGAAACTTAGTAACTAAATTGTAACGAAAAAACAACATAATGTCAAATTTGATTTTGATTTTATTTTTTTTTTTATTTTTTTTTTTTGTGCGCGCGCGCATATATAATGTATTTTGTGGAATTTATCCCATATGTTTTTGTATGTAGTTAAAATGTTGTTAAACTATATATTAGTTTTGTGGTTTTGTAATTGGATCTAATGGTTTATACTTCAAAACCATGTACGACCCCTTTAATCTCAAATTTTGGATTAGACCTTAAAATCTCATAACCATAACTCCTTATGAATTTATAGTCCTTTCAGTCTCATTCAAAGCATATTTCTTTGCATTTATACTGTCCAACACTAACCTTAATGCTGTATCTCTTCAAACTTTAGATAATATTTTCTTGTAACTTACTTAATTTGTCATTTTTAGAACACTTAAACTAACAATCTACTTTTTGTCATTTTTTACGACACTCAACTATGATACAGATGATGAAATGCAAGGGGCTGAGAACATATACAAGAGGGATTGGGTGATGGAAGATAGAGATGACAACATTCGTCTAACGATTCAACTGTATTGAAGGTACTTGGAACTCTTATATATAATTAAAAACATAACAGAAAAAAAATACTATAAGCTATTCAATGACTCAATGGCTGAGTTAGGTTTGTTTTCCTGTAGTGACTTATCACCAAACTTATCCATTCAAAAGAAGAAGAGAATCAAAAGAATACAGTCTATTCATTATCTGAATCATGCACATCTTCATACACCCGAATCACCATGCAATCACATACCCTAATCTAACTACAAAATGTCCAACTACTGAAGCTTCTGTATGTTATGTTGGAACATATATTACCATATCTTCAATTAGCATCATCCAACTAACTTTTCCTGATATAACTTCAAAACACCTGGAGCTTCTTTCTCATATCTTTCCAATCTCTTGATGAATATATTATCCGAACACTGCAACCACCAACTGAAACCACAAATTTTTTTATCTTTCAACAATCCATTGTCCAAACAATATTGGTAAACCATACTTCTTGGAATAATCCTTTTCTCCATACTCAATGAAAAGATTGCAAAGTTCTTTGAGACAATGGATGTCTCAAACCCCATCTTATTAACAAGAAACTCCATCACTTTATCAATTTTCTCCTCTGATATCATCATACACCATGGATTAATCCTAAAAGCTAGCAAGATCTGGGCTTTAGACCAACCCCATTTCTCATAAGTCTCCATCTTCTTTTCCCAAGTGGACTTGCTCATTGACCTAAGTGCATGAACTGCTAACACAAAAGTTATTTTCAAAGGATCAAAACTCATCTCCACTACTTCCTCCACAGCCTTTTTGAACTGGTCTGTAGGAACTAAAAAATCTCGAGGCTGGTGAGTTAACAGATACAACATCTTTGATCCAGGTACACCAACATCAAGAAGTATTTGCATATTTGCAAACATATTTGCATGGAAATTCAAATCCAAGACCCAGGCACATCTCCTGATTGCAATAGCTGTTCTATTGTTGGATTGAAGCAAATCTCTAAGTATATTATAGGTAGGTTCTATATGATTCTTCAAGCTTCTGCCTAGTAAGTTGGGTCTTCCAGTAAATAACTTAAAAATATCAGAATGCGAAAGACCTATAGAGCCTAAGAACTCAAATTTGGGCAAAAGGTTTTTTTCGGGATGATAGTGGAGAGCTGTAGGGTACTTTCGAACCAAATTAGAGATTTGGGTTTCTGTGAACCCTTGATTCTTGAAAAATGCTATCACAGAGTCTGCTCTATCTGGGGTTTTGAACTTCAAGAATTTGGAAGCTGAAATCGCCTTGTCGGGAGGGAATCCGCATGAGTCAATCAGGTAAGAAACTGTGAATGAGTTATCTGATGCAGCTGTTGACGAAGATAATGAGCGAGGAAACAGGATATGAACCGACGTTGCTTTGAACGCAGAAAAGGACAAGTTTCTGCTGATGAGATTGAACATTGCGAGTAGAGATCGTAATGATGGAGGAATCACTGACCTGTGGATTTAGGTTACTTGTATGCGATTAAAGCTTGTGGAGATTGTTCTTCTCTCTAATCGGTTTCCAGTTGAAGAACCCTAATTTATTAACATTAACTTTGCTCGCCAAAAAAAAAGGATTTCACGTGTTAATGAAATTGATGAAATGACTTATGAAGATTTTGATTTTTTAGGCATATTGATTTCACGTGTTAAAATTTTCAAACTGAGTAAAAATGTAAGAGTGAATTTTGTAGTCCTTATTATATTTTAAAATATTATATTTATCTAATGTAAAATAAAAATATCAACATTACCCTTTTTAATCGATTTAAAATATAATACACATCTAAATCTGCTTTTTTTTAATATTTCATAATCATTTTTTCTATATAAAAGTAGTTAAAACTGAAAAAGAAAAAAAAAAAGGACCAAATTGCCCATACCTATAAAATCACAGGAAACAAATTGATTTTACGCCTTTTTGTTATGAATATCCTTAACATCTTTGTGTTTATCTTTTTCCCTTCCAACCATCTTAAATGTTGCAATCAGTTAAGGTATTAAGGATCACAAACCTCTAATTTTTTTCGGTCATCCCACATGAATAAAAACATTGTCCTGATAACTAACCAAACGTTATTGGTTTTGTCTGGTAAACCGATCGAAGAGCCCGAGTTTGTAGGGGTATTTGGTTTGGATAAAACCCACACAGAAATGGATTCCCGGTGAACGTCATAGACTAACCATTACCTGAAACAACCCATACAACACTAAAATCCCACCGATAATTGATTGCGACGCATATTAAGCGTACCAGAGAGGTTTTCGAGAGACTCCGGAAAAGACCCGTTTAAGACATTTCAATATAGATTTAAAATCGTTAGGAACTTGAGAGTTGTGATTTTCCTCGAGATTGGTCCAGTGAGATAGTTGTGAGAGAGGTTTGTGTTGGAATTCCTAAGTCGATGAGGACACGAGGAATACCAATTGAGTAGAGCTCAAGCAAGTTGGTTTGGTCCTATACAAGGAAAGTTATTTCCTAGTCTTATTCTACAAGTTTATTAGTCTAGGCCTATAAATACATTAATAGAATACGAGTTATGTATCAGATTTAATCAAATTGAGTTTTGAGTGATATTTTTTCAATAAAGTTTGGAGAGTTATTCCACTTTATTTTGTGTTTTATGATTTGAATTGGTATCAGATCCCATCAAAATCTTGCGACGGAAGCAAGATACCATCAGGAAAAATCGAAGACCTCCTGATTTGAGGTGCTCGACAAAAGGTTTTTGTCAACATTTGATATTTTTGTGTTGTTCTCACCTGCAATTTAACAATTGATTCACTTGCGATAGAAAAGTGTCAGTCAAGATTATTGTAGCTTCTATCGACAAAAAGTCTTCAATGTAGTTCATGTATTGGTGACAAAAGGTCTTCTCAATTGGCATCATCGTTTTCTTCGATTTGAATTAATTACACCGGAACTCCTGTAATCAAATTCATCGTTTTTTGTTCTTATGTGGATTTCCATTGCCGATCAAACAATATTTGGTCGATAGAATAGTGTTCACGATTGAGTTGATTTGAACAGTATTTATTGATTGACCTTAATTAGTTTGAAATTGATTGATCAACAATTGATCCCGTTTTTCTACTTTGATTCTTGAAAGATAAGTACTTTCAATCTCTCTGATTTTGATTTTTTCTTTTCTGATTTGAGTAATCACCATGTTGGGTGACACCTCGAATCCAATTCCATCAAAGGAAATCGGAGTACCTCGGTTCACTACCCTATGTTGACACCTACAAACTGTTGGATTAAAGTCTAAGTCCATAATTATATTTGGTATGTACTTGACCTGGTTGTAGCATGGTCCTTTTGGGTTGCCTTCACACTGGTGATTAGACATGATGATTATCGAGGAGAGAGACTGATTTATTGTTAAGAATAATAATTTAGGGTATGAATATGATTTGTTAATATATTATATAAATAATATATTAATTTGGAATCATATTATTAATTAGTATTTAATCAGAACTTAATTTCAAATTAATTTTGGGATTAAAGGAACTGATTAAAAGTGTAGGGGCTGTTTTGTAATTATTTGATAGTTGAGGTTTGGGCCAGTGGATCACCTTATTAGACAAGGGCCGAAAATCCTAGAAGGCTCTAGGGTTTTTCGTCCAAGACTAAAGGATAAGGAGTCCATGGACTTTTTTAGGCCCTTAGAAGGAAGGATTTTTCGAAATTCAACCATAATGAGGGTTTATAAAGGTGTTAGAAATGTATTGGAAAATGCATGTATCTCCAAGATAACCCCCTAATCCTAACTTCCTCCCTAAGGCATCCAAGACGCCTTTAGAGCTCAAGGAAACCCTAGAGTCACTCTAGATTTCGTTCCCCCCACCCTCCCCCCCCCCCCCCCCTCCCTTTTTTTAGGGTGGTTCTAGAATTTCCCAATGCTCAACTATTGAATATTGTCACCTTTAGTCCCTGCACTTTTAATTAATTCATTTAACCCTAAAATTAATTCCAAATTAATTTATGATTAAATATTAATTAAACAATATGTTTTCTAATTAATATGGTATTTCCATAATACATTAATAAATCATTTATTTTGATTTATAATTAATTTATTAACCAAGTAATAAATTAACAAATTATTCTTCTCTCTCTAATAGTCATCCTATTCAATTGTCAGGTTTGAAGGGCATTTAGATTATTATATACAAATCTAACTAATTACATACAAACCCACCAAGAATAAGTTCATTTAGATTATTATATACAAATCCAACTAATTACATTATTGTAGAATATTCTAAAAGGGCATTTAGATTATTATATACAAACCCACCAAGAATAAGTTCATTTATTCCTCTGAAAGTTGAGTTAGCAAAAAGCAAACTTCTAATGACAAAGCAAGTGGGAGGCACATGGAAGTTGAAGTAGTTCAAGAACCATAGCATGATGTAACAACTGTTGGCACCAGAAATTATTAAATATGAATAATAGTTATTCATAAACACAAATTGTTCGTAATAATGGTAGAAATCATCTATGACTTGAGAATTTTGGAATCTCTCATTGATGAGTTCTTGATGGCTTCTAGTTAAACCATCAACTACTAAAAGATTGTATCAGATCTTAAATCTAACAATGACTTAGAGTCATGAACATTGAGATGTAATCCATGTTTAATAATCAAGTATGAGCTTGATTAATCTTCCTCTCTATAGCAAGGCTAGAAGGAGTAAGAGATTCTTCTAGAAAGAATATACATGGATGTATATACACATTCAGTAATACTTGTTATATAAGGATTTTCTCATACTCATGTCATTGACTATGGTCCTTATCGTACTCATGACATTGACTATGATAAAACCTTTACACAAGTAGCTATGAAAGGATATTATTTACTATAACTTCATATTCTTAATATGAGATATAGCAAATAAATTTCAAGAAAGACCGCTTTTCTTAATAGACATCTACTAGAATATATCTATATAGCTTATCCTGGAGGTTTTCTTAATCCATTTTATCGTAACCAAACATGTAAGGATTAAGATCCACATGTGGATATAAAACAAACATCTCAAGGTTGGAATAGTCATTTTAATATAAAGATACAATGTATGCTTTTATATCAAGATGAAAACGAACGTGTGTGTTTACTAATATCTAGTGGGAGGATAGTGATATTCCTAATCTTGTATGAAAGAGACATACTTAATCATTTTAAATGACATTCCGACTATGCAAGATGGTTTTCACCTTGACTCGGAAAGTATTTCTAAAATGAAAGACTTAGGAATGACAAGATACATTCTTGGAATGTAAAATCTATAAGAGATAGATAAAGATGAATGTTAAAGGTTATAAAATTCTTTTGCATGAAATGACAATATCTTGAAAGAGATCAAGATACAAGAATCCTTTGGAAGATTCTTGATATTGTCACATGACTCCATTTTTTATTTTGTCTCAAATGGATCTAGCACATAGGTCTGAGCTAGATAAAATGATTTAGATTCTATTTGCTTGACAAATAAATCCATCATTTATGTCATATCATGAGATACAAAATTGAATACATGGTTAAGTCACTAGATGACTGTGAGAACATTCTAAGAGTACTTAAGAAGAGCTAAGAGAATGTATATGAGATCATTAGTTTAGAATAAAATCTTAATGTAAAGAGCTACATAGGATTTTGATTTCTAAATAAATATAGATAATTATGAATTATAATTGGATTATCACTTCATTTTGGAATGAAGAGTAAGTTTTGTTGGAATGAGGTCCAAGCAAAACATAATGACACAATCTCCTACAAAATAATAATACACAACTTTTGAAGTTGAAGTCAAATATGATTGGATGAATGAGTTCATTGAAAAACTATGTTGATTTCTGCCATTCAAGGATCACATAGAAATCTTTGTGATTTCAAGAGTTGACTTAATCATGCTAAGGGACTCTATGTGACGAAAGAACACTAATCATATTCTCCAAGATATTTAACTATACCTAGAGTAAAAGTCAAATATGGAGATATCGTATTCGCGAAATTCACACAAATTAAATTTAGTCGAACCCATTAATAAAGTCTTTCCTTTTAGGCTAAGTATGAGTGGTCACACTTAAGCCATAAGACTTTTATTGTTCTAGTAATGGGACTTTGATTTAAATTTAGTATTTGGATATTGGAACATTGTAACAACAACTATTAAATAATGTTTTGATATATTGGGATATGATTCTTACATTAATACTTGTCGTGTTCTATATTAACATGTTTAATCCATGAATAATCTTGTTATTCTAAAGGTTCATAGTCGGTCATGATTGTGGGAGCAATTATGAAGTAAGACTAATATGAAAATGATTGGTTGATTCTCAGCAGATGAAAGTAGGCAAAAAGTTGTAACCAAGTTTCATAGGTACTTGTCAGAGAACTAGTATC